TATATTGGCGGTTCGCAATGTTCACCTTAGTCTCCCTCTGGTCCGTTAATGTCAGTTTAAAAAATTCTGACTTGAGCAACAGACAGCTTGTTTTATATCGCCAACACATTTATGATTAGTGTATATATTCATATAGTAGGATTATAAACAGCTCAATAAGTTGATTTATGATTGATTAAAATATTAATTAATTAATTAAGATTAATTAAATGATTAATATTTATTATACAAAATATTTATCCCATCATTAGATAAGCTTACTAAAAGGAGCATCCATTTCATTTACTTCTGTGATAGAAAAATTTTAAAGTTTTAATGATACAATCATTTGGAAATAGGTTGAGGATTCTAAAAACATTTATGATTAAGCCCTATATTCGTAAAGCAAGAATTTAAAAAAATAAAAAGCTTTAATGAATTATTTGGGACCGAATTTACTGAGACATAAAATTTTGAACGTCCTAAAAAATGTTGGAAATATGTTGGTACTCATAACTGCCAGATTCCACAACTGGATCATAATCTTGTCAAATTTATTCGGTAGTAGAATATTTTCCAGGTTTATGGGATTCCTGTAAATGCGACAATTTATATTTGTCGTTTTTGCTGTTTGGCTTATGAAAATAACTCGATATATCAAAAGCATATGCAGGCACATGGCTCAGTTTTAAACTGTTCGCATTGTTCGACAGTTGCATTTAATGCTGCATCGGTGAAGATTCATGAATCGTTGCATTTGGGTTCCAATTCTGCAAATCGATTAATTTATATTTGTTCTATTTGTATGACAGCGTTCTCTAATGTAATTCTTTATTTGATATTTTAAAAATATTTTAAAAACTGCACTGGATTCGGTCTAATAACTAAAAGTCAATCATTTGCTACAGTTTGATTAAAAATAAAATTTAATTTATGAATTATTTAACTCAAACAAATTACATAAATTTCTTCTTTCGTATTGTTCAGGAAGAACGTCTTTACCACCACATGCAAAAAATGCATGGGCAGTATTTACTATATTTTTGTAAAGTATGTGGTCTTGCTAACAGCGATGGACAAATTGTTTATTCTCATATCGCAAAGAAGCAATGTAAAGATGAGGTTTTTAATTTTCATGAGTTTGAAATCGTAAAAAAAATCGTGGAAAGTAAAAACTTTTTTTAAATGGTTTTAATCATTTTTATGGCACGCATTTGTTTCTATTTAAGGTGCTCGATTCTGTATGTCAAATGGGTTTTGTTGCCGCATGTATATTTCATTTTCAACCAGCTGATCCACAAAAATATGAATTCTTACAGAATAATGGTGCATTAGCAGTGATTGTACCTTCAGAATGTCTTCATCGATCATTTCTATCTCAAAGCAGTACTGATCTCTTTTTTATCACTTGTACCACTTGCAAATCTTTAGTAAGTTTTTTTGTTGAAAAATTAAGGTAATTTTATGTTTAGAAAATTTTATGTTTGGAAAATTTACTCAATGGAATGCAACTTTTTACTTGTTTTGCAGATGAATTATGGGCGATTTCAAATTGAAAATCCGGCTCTATGCTCCTCTTTTCCAGTTCTTTTTTTCTATCTTTTCTTTTTTCTTTTCTTTGAAATTAATTTTTCATTCATGAAAATAAAGGGTTAAATTAAGAATTTAACTTTTTCAGAATTTTAATTTTCAGACCACTTTAAATCGAGCATCTGATGACACTAATGAAACAATTAGCATTCTTACTTTGATCTGGAAAAGTCGAAAGGATCATTTTTTAGCGCAATCAGTTTTACCTATATGCAATATAATTCAGCATCCTTCACCATCAATGTCATCTTTTATTAATGCCAGTTCATCTTCAACATGTTCTGCTCAATATGTTAGTGAAAAGCAGTATATCGTACAATTGTACAAGCATAGTTATAGTTTTTGATCTTAACTTGTCACTTTCAGCTCATCTTTTTTAAAAAATTTGTATTCATATATTCATAATTTTTTTTATTCTTTTGTATGATTTTTAAAGTATATTTAAGAAACAAAAAAAACATATGAACATTCAGCCATGGAATATGAATATTTATAGTTGCCAACACAAGAAAGGGAAGCTGTTGAATTTTTCCAAGACCATGGAATCTTACCACGTTCGATGATGTGCCGTAAGGGTCATACAACAAAACTATATTTCGGCAAAAGTATATTCTGGAAATGTACGGAGGGAAACTGCGTGAGGAGGATGAGAATTCGAAGTGGAAACTGGTTAGAAGGTTCGCGTATACCTATCTCTGCAGTTATACGATTTATATATTGTTGGTGTCAACAGTTGACATCCATTGAATGGTGTCAGCGCGAATTGAAACTTTCCAATGATGCAACAATCGACTGGAATAATCGGATGCGGGAAGTGTGTGTCTCTGCTGTACAACGGAACAAAAAGAAAATTGGAGGCGATGGGCTTACAGTAGAAATTGATGACAATTTGTTTAATAAAAGGAGAAATAACGATGAAAAGCCATTGCCAGAACATTGGATATTTGGAGGAATTTGTAGAGAAACGAGAGATATGTTTATAGAGGAAGTCCCTGATCGGAGTGCAAATACTTTTTTGACATTTATAAAGAAAAATGTTGAGGAGGGATCAATAATTTATTCGGATTTTTTGTGTTCATATAGGATTGAGGAATTGAACGAAGCTGGATTTGAACAGTTAAAGGTCGATTATAGGTATAATTTTGTGGATCCTGGAACTAATACACAATGCATTGAAAAATTGTGGGAAACATGGAATAAAAAACATCGAGGAACTGCTCGGCACCATTTTAACACGTA